CTGTGACATTTTGTACTGGTATGACCACATGCACAAGAGTGAGGTTTGCTGTTTGAGCTGTGCTAACATACAAAAACGAATGGAGTTTTCTAGTATAAGTTCACAGACTAAAGCACTTGGGCTATTGTTCAGTGCCCTGTCTTGACTTTCTTAGATTATAAGATCTTTGATCAAGAATCTAGAGTATCAAGTGCTGGTCCTGTATAAAAGATACTTTTCCATCTCAGGAGAGGGTTTAAATCCAAGTCAGGGCTTGGATTTTCATTTTATAAAGCATGAATGCACCAGACTTCTTTAAAAGTCCCTGTGCTTTGCTGACAACTGTGAAAGTTGCTCACACTTACAGATATAGTGGTCAAAAAGCAAGTAAAACATGATGGTCACCATTTCAAAGTCCCTACTGAGCAGTAGTGGCCTGGGTAGCATGAGACTAGGTATTTCTCTAGCTTTGCACTAGACTCCAGATTAATTTCAAAGCAACCCATGTCCTTGATAAAAGTGTCAGAACTTAATTGGGAAATACCAGCCAGAAGTGAGGGTGGGACCTGTGCTTAAGCTTTTCCTATTTGTGTCATTGTGCTTTTCGTCTTAGAGTTGTACCGTGTGTTAGTGACTATCGTGCCGCGTCACCCAGCTGTAAGATACACAGCACGATAAGAATGAACTTGTAGATGAAATGGTTTCCTTGATTTAATATGAAAAAGAGGTCTCTGTCTTTGCTGTGTTTTGTAAGTTAATGTGCAAAGGGCTTTGATAATGAAGTGCTGTAACAGAAGTGCTATGTAGAGAGCAATGTCAGCCAGTGGGTTGGCCATTTTGCTGCGCATTAAGCTTTATAATAATGGGAATGATGCTGAAGCTCGTACCTAGAGCCCTTACTTCTATTTTCTGCCTGAGTAAGGGTCTAGCAGTGACTTCAGCACTGCTTTGTTGCTGCTGCTTTGCTAAGGATACTTTCTTTGGTAAGGTTTTTTCTTCACTTTGATGATTGAGGTGAACAAAAGGAATGGAAAGGAGTCTGATATATTGCAAGAGATACTTAAAAAAGATGGGAAAGCACATGAAAAGCATCCACATATTGGAAAGAA